AATATGTCTGCAATTTGATCTTCTGTTCTACAGTAGTCGAGTTTGATCTCTTTAGTTGCTTCAGCTTCTCTTATAAAGTGATACTTGATTGCTATATGTTTTGTTCTACTGTGATGCACTGGATTCTTTGCCATTGCAATTGCTGATTTGTTGTCGCAATTGATTTTAGTTGGCTGATCCTGGATTTCTCCCATGTCTTCAAGTATCCTACGAAGCCATATAGCCTGACTCGTTGCTTCAGCAGCTGCCACGTACTCTGCTTCTGTTGTGGATTGTGCAACCGTAGCTTGCTTCTTCGACGCCCAAGAGAAAATTCCTGATCCGAGTGAGAAAGCATAACCAGAGGTGCTCTTCATGTCATCTACCGAACCTGCCCAATCACTATCGGTGTAGCCAAGTAATCCTGAGTTAGTTTCGGTAGAGTACCATATACCTAACTCTTTTGTTCCTTGTAGATATCTCAAAATTCTTTTTCCCGCTCCAAAGTGTATTTGACTTGGACTTTGCATGAATCTTGATAGAAGAATTGTAGCATACATTATGTCTGGCCGCGTAGCTGTCAAATATAGGAGGCTTCCAATTAAACTTCGATATTTGGATGCATCAGCTTCTGGTGCTCCATCATTCTTTTGTAGTTTCTCATTTGTTATGAGTGGGGTAGCGACAGGTTTGCAACCGTACATCTTGAATTTCTTAAGTAAGCCTTCTGTGTATTTCTTTTGTGAGATGAATATCCCTTCATTTCTTTGGCTTACCTCTATACCGAGGAAGTAACTCATCAAACCAAGGTCGGTCATCTCAAAGGTCTTCATCATATCTTCTTTGAACTCCTTTATCATCTTAGTATTGTTTCCCGTGTAGATAAGGTCATCTACATATAGAGAGAGTAAGAGAGTGTACTGACCTTGAGACTTGATGTATAGTGTGGGCTCACTCTTGCTTCTCCTAAATCCTTGATCCATGAAATATTGATCGATTCTGCTATACCATGCTCGAGGAGCTTGCTTCAAACCGTATAGTGCTTTTCTTAGTCTTAACACTTTGCTCTCTTCGCCTTCAGATATGAATCCTTGTGGCTGCTCCACATAGATCTCTTCTTCAAGTACACCATTGAGGAAGGCAGATTTGACATTCAGTTGATGTATACTCCATCCTTTTTGTGTCGCAAGAGCTATTAGAGCTCTAATGGTATCAAGACGAGCTACTGGTGCAAATGTCTCATTGTAGTCAATCCCAGGTTGTTGTGAGTAACCCTTAGCTACTAGTCTCGCCTTATGTTTCTGTATGGTGCCATCAGGATTGAGCTTTGTCTTATAGACCCACTTAACCCCAATGATATCTTTTCCATGGGGACGATTTACTAACTCCCATGTATTATTTTTCTCGATCACCTTTATCTCTTCTTCCATTGCCTTGACCCATACTTCATGCTTTGATGCTTCTTCAAAGCTTCCAGGTTCGAGTATGGCCATGTTGCAGGTTTCATATATGTCTCTCAAAGGTCTTACTCGTCTTGGAGTAGACTCTGGTGATGATAGTTCTTGAGCTTGTTGTTGTGGTGGAGGTGAAGAAGGTTCACCTAGGACTTCTTCCTCAGCTTCTTCTTGAGGTAGTTGAGTGGGTATAAGAACATTCTTCTCCACTTTTTCTTCATCCCAATTCCAAGAAGCATTCTCATCAACTTCAACATCTCGACTGATGATGAGTTTTTTTGTTTGCAAGTTATATACACGATAGCCTTTAGATATTGTACTATACCCCAAGAAGATACCTCGTATAGTCTTGCCTTCAAGCTTATGCCTCTTCACGTCTGGAATATGAATGTAGCATATAGATCCAAAGATCCTTAGGTGCTTTGCTGATGGCTTCTTCCCGTTCCAAGCCTCAATTGGAGTCTTATCTTATACAGATTTAGTTGGACATCTGTTGAGTAAGTAAACAGCAGTGTAGACTGCTTCAGCCCAGAATATGTTAGGTAGTCGCTTCTCTTTGAGCATCGATCTAGCCATCTCCATAACTGTGCGATTCTTTCTCTCAGACACACCATTTTGCTGAGGAGAATATGCGACTGTAAGTTGTCGCTCTATGCCCTCATCCTCACAAAATCTATCAAACTCGCGGGATGTGTACTCTTTGCCGCGATCACTTCTTAGTACTTTTATCCGCTTTCCACTTTGATTTTCAACAAGGGCCTTGAACCTTTTGAATACTCCAAAAACTTCTGATTTTTCTTTCAAGAAATAGACCCATGTCATTCTAGAGAAGTCATCAATGAAGAGTATGAAGTACCTGTTGTTCTCGTGTGATGGCGTCCTCATCGGTCCACAGACGTCAGTATGTATCAGCTCCAACAAATCTTTTGCTCTCCATGCTCCGCTGTTGAGAATGGAAATCGGTGTTGCTTACCAAGGAGACATCCTTCACACACTTCATTGTTATCCTTTATGCTTGGAAGATCTCTCATCATGTTCTTATCATGTAACAACTTCAAGGCATGTGTGTTGAAGTGGCCAAATCTTCGATGCCAAAGCCATGAATCATCAACTTGTACCTTCATGGCAATGTTAGTTGTATATTTTAAATTTAGCGAGAAGCTTCTATTGCTCTTATTCATCTTCACTTCGGCTATCTCGGCCCTTTTATTCTTGTTGTCTAAGATTTTGCATACACCTCCTTCAAAGTGAAGTGTGTAGCCTCTCTCCATCATTTGCCCAATGCTTAGAAGATTTTCTTTTAGGCTGGGAACTAGTAAGACATCATGGATGAGTCGCGTACCTTTATCTGTCTCTACCACGACGGTGCCTTTTCCTTTTGACTCAACCACACTTCCATTTCCTAGTCGAACTTTGACTTTGACTGACTCATCAATGCTTTTGAAAATAGTCTCATCCTTGGCCATGTGATTGCTACATCCACTATCCAAGTACCAACTTCCTCCTTTTTCTTTGATTGATTCTTGAGTGGCATAGAACATACATTGTTCTTGATCGTGCTCCTCTGCGATATTAGCTTGATGCCTATTTTTGTTGCGACAGTGTTTCTCTATGTGCCCAAATTTCTTGCAATGATTGCATTGTGGCATATTACGGTACCAACAACTTTTCTCTGCGTGGCCTAGTCGTTTGCATATATTGCATGGAATATTTTTATCTGGATTGTTCTTTTGGAAATTTCTAGGAACTTCTCTTCTTTTGGAAGTTTCACCATAATTTTTCTTTCCTCCATTTTCTTTATTTTGGGACTTAAATTTGAGCTTTGACTGAAAGGCATTTTCAAGTGTATCTTCTTTATGCCTATGTAGTCTTTGCTCATATGCTTCAAGAGAGCCCACTAGTTCTGTCACTGATAGAGTAGACAGATCTTTGGTTTCCTCTATTGTTGTCACGATTGGGTCAAATTTTGGGGGCATAGTAATTAGAATTTTCTCAACAATTTTCTTGTCAAGAATATCCTCCCCCAAAAGCTCTCATTTGATTAACTATTTCTTTAACTTTAGAATAGTAATCTTTAACTGTCTCAGACTCCTTCATCTTCAATAGTTCAAAATCTCTTCTTAGAGATTGAAGTTTGACAGCACGTACCTTGTCATTTCCTTGAAACTCCTCCTGCAACGTCTTCCACGCTTCTTTTGCAGTCTTAGCTCCCATAATTCTTGGAAAAATTGCATCAGTCACCGCTTGTTGCAAGGTGAACAATGCCTTTGAATTTTTCTGTTTATTTTTCTTCAACTCTTTTTCTTGAGCTGCATTTAGAGCTGAAGTATCTATGGGAGCGATGAAGCCTTCTTCTACTATTTCCCATAAATCTTGAGATGAAAAATATGTCTCCATTTTAACACGCCAGAAATCATAATTTTCACCATTGAAAATAGGGACACAAATAGTTGATGATTGAGTAGTGTTATCCATGGCTTAGAAAAAATATTGTAGTGGGTTAATAGTATAAGGGAAATATTTTGAAGTAGTTTGGAGGATTTTGAAATGGTAGGTATTAGTATAACTACGCCTAATGTATGACCGAACGTAGCTCTGATGCCACTGTTAGAAATTGTTTAGATGATAGTTGGTAGAAGATAGTTTTAGAGAGTAGTTTAGAAAGAAGATTTTTTGATTAATTTCTTGGATTATTGTTTACAATGTAGCAAATGCCTATTTATAGGCTCAAGTCACCAACCTTTCAATAGTGGTGAATATTCTAGAGTTCTCATGATAGGTTACTATCATGATAAATCTAGATTTTTCTATCTTTGCCATATATTATATATCTAGATTATTCTACCATATTCATACACCTTATAGTTTCTAGGATGTTCTATATTTTATTACATATTATATTTAAGAACTCTCTAGAAATTTGTAGCAAATTTAACATGAAGTTCTTACATTAATTAAAAATATGAGACTTCTAAATGATCAACTAAATTGAAATAATTAGGATATGAGGCAATATTCTTAGAGGATTTTAGGCATTGGAGATTACAATAACATGAATATTACACTTGATATCTCGCACAACTTTGTTTATTTCAGTGGATAACAATTCTCTTGCAGCAATTGTTGAAAGCAAATATATCCGTCTATCTTACATGATATTGATGGGGAATATTTTTTTCAAACTAAGGTTATATTAGCTCTCAAAAACTTCATTGTTGAATGATTAATGATTATGTTTTGGATTTATTTCTTGGAGAAAGAAAAAATATATTTGAGATTCGATAGTCCGTATTCATATAAAAAGCCATTTCACAAGGTTATGTTTTTCTAGAGAAATGTAAAGATGACTTATGAAAAGGCGCATGAGAGATAGATGTAATTACGAGATTAGATAGGTAGGTTAATTATTGCCATAAATAAATGAAGAGCTTTGTTTGCACTCTAACCAAAATATATCACTAGTCATCAAGAGATTGAAGCGTATGCTTGCTAGCTTCACCATTTTTATTAATATGTCTAGAAGACAGAAGAAAAGTAATTCACACATTATCTCCTAAACGCTCCACCATGGCTAGAGAAAATTCCACTCTCCCCATCTGTTTCTTCAAGATCATTCTTCAAACCAATCTTCAAACTATTGTAACCTTCCTTTAACTTACTATTACTTCTACTACTACGTCATGTTAAATCTGTCTGTTTAACCTTTTCCTTTTTAAAAAATTCTAGTTCTAATATATTTTTTTTTTGTACAGAAAATACCGAACAAGTTTACAAGGAGCCACGGAGCTGGTCTACCAAATCCAGTGTTGATCAAGCCTCCTGATGGCACTAAATGGAAAATGTTTTGGAAAAACATCAATGGTGACATTTGGTTTCAAAAGGGTTGGAAATTGTTTACTCAAAATTACTCTCTACAGCATGGTTGCTTGGTTGTGTTTAAATATAAAGAAGGAACTTCAGAGTTAGATGTAGTAATAATTGCCCAGAATGGAGTAGAAATTGATTATGATTCTTCATGTCACACTTTGGATGATGATTATGAAAACCTTGACCATAGTGATAATGAATCAGTTGAGATTTTGAATGAATGGCATTATCCGAAGAAGGCTAAACATCGCTCAACATTAGCTTCTACTAGACCACATAAAAAAGTTAAAGGTATTTGGATTTCATTTTCTGTTTTTTATTCTTACATTGCCATGCACCTTCTGTGATATATTATGACTACTCAAAATCTCAACATGATGTTACTCTAAGGTGAGATTGAGAGGACTAGTCAAAGAACTTCATCATTGAATAGGCCAAAGGAATCTAGAGCTCGAGAAGTAGCTGAAGAATTTATCTCAAGCAATCCCTTTTTCACAATTTCGATCAACCCTACTAACCTGGCAGCAAATCGTCTGGTACAGTATTCATGCAATGCTATGTTGTGATTATAACTATAATGATAATGATTGGTATAATAAAATTATATACAACGCAGACTGTGCCAAATTTAAATGGGGTTATTGAGAAGAAGAAGACAACCGTGAAAGTGGAGATTGGTAACAGATCATGGAATCTGAATTTGCTTGGTTGTTACAATAATAAAAGTGGCCGTCATCTTTCGGCTGGTTGGTCGTCTTTTGCAAGGGAAAGTGGAGTGCAACCGGGAGATGTTTGTGTCTTCGAACTGATAAACAAGGAAGATTTAGTTTTTAAAGTTCATGTTTTCCATCAGGACTGTTAATTTGAGTAATGGTAACATTAATTAAGTCGCACTGTTTCCTTTCCATCAAATGTATCTATTTGAAGAAGCTGTCATTGAGTGATAGAAAATTTTATTAACACTATTTTCTTTCCATCAAATGTGTGAAGTGAAGTTTGTAACCGTTTAATTTTGAAATATTTCAAGGAACATCAAGTCTTAGCAAAATGGTATCTTCAAGTATGATTGCACAAAACTAGGATACATTTTTGTTTGTAGTTAATTAGTCTGATAGTTGATAAAAGATAGATTTAGAGAATTATTTAAAAAAAAGATTATGTCATTAATTTTTTGGATGATTAGTTACAAGATACTAATTACCTATTTATAGCCTCAAGTCACTAACCTCTTTATGATGATGAATATTTTTACGTTACATTCATGTGAGAAATAATAAAAGTTGTGACGTGTATACCACGTCACTAAATTATTTTATTGATAAACGAAAAGTTTCAAGTTTTCAAATGGTGGGGGCAGTTTTTTTTTTTAAATTGTTGTGGCGTGAATTCCACGTCGCAACACAATGGGAAAATGAAATTTAAAAATAGAAAAAAAAGGTGAAAAACATATGATGGTTCTGATCATATTTCAAAATACACGCGACTAAGTTCCGACGTGATTCTTACGTCGTTACCTTCTATTAATTAATTTTTTTTTTTACCGTTGAGACATATTTATTGTGGTTGACCGGAGTGCTATTTATTGCAAAAATTTCGACGTGGGAATCCTGTGACAAATTTCCTACGTGATTCCCACGTCGCTAGCATGAATATATTTATTTTGGTCTGCACAAATTTCCTACATGATTCCCACGTCGTAACTTTAAAATATGTATTAATAGAAAGATGTTCCGATGTGAGAATCACGTGGCTTCTTTACCACGTGTTAACCACGTCACAAAATTCACTATATATTTTCTCGAACTCACCATTTCGTTTCTTCTTTCTTCCTTCCAGTTTCGAGAAGTTGTTTGGATGTTGTTATGTAATAATAGAATATATTGATTATATATGAAATTATTTAGGTTTTATAAAATTATTTATTTGGTTGTTGTTGTTGTATAAAAATAGATTTCTTTTTTAAATATGTTATTTTTATTAAAAGTAGAATATATATTATATTTTATAAGTTATATTTTTTAAATATGTTATTTTTTATAGTTAATATTAAAAACAGAATTAAATAAATAGAATTTATAGTTAATATTTAAAACATTTTAAAGGTTATATTTAATAAGTTATAATTTATATATTTTAAAAACAAAAAATATAATACTATAGATTATATTTTTGTTGTTTATAAATAGAAATTATTTAAAAATTAGAAAAATAGATATTTAAAAAGTATTTTAATTAAACAGAATTGTAAAATTAATTTTAAAAAAAAAGTATTTTATTAAATTCAATTATTAAATAGAATTATTTTTATTAAAAAGTATTTTTTAGAAAAAATTACTTGTAAAAAGAGTATATAACTAATGTGAAAAAATTATATTAATATCTTATGTAGATTTATTAAAAAATACAATTTATAAAACAAATTTATTTTAAAAATTAGAATTTAAAACAAACATGATTTGTAAAATAACTTTTTAAAAACCGAAATTATAAAATAAAAAGAAAAAATAGAATTTAAAATAAACATAATTTGTAAAATAACTTTTTAAAAACTGAAATTTTAAAACAAATAGAAAAAATATTAACTCGAAAATAATTAATATTAAGTTTATTTTTATTAGGTTAAAATGTATAACTAGATTTTATATTCAAAATATGATATGTAGATCTATTAAAAATAGAGTTGTAAAATTTGTATTTATATTTTTATATTAAGGAAATATTTTTAAAACAATGTTACAAATGTAGAGTATTTTTATTTAAGTAATATTTTCATTTATATTAGGTTAAAATATAAAGTAATATTTTTATTTAAGTAAGTATATATGTTAAGTATAGTTATAAAATGTATAATATGTATTTATGAAATGTACAATTTGATATAGTAAAAAATATAGTTATGTTTAAAATAATGTGAAAAGAATTATATTATTTTGCATATATTAAAATCACACTTTTAATTAAAATGATATATCACTACGCCAGAAATGACTTTTAGCAGCGCAACAAAAGACAACGCTTTCTAAAAAAGCGCTGCTAAAGGGGGTCCTAAGGCAGACCTATAGCAGCGCTTTTAAAAGCGATGCTAAATGCCAAAAAAAGCGCTGCTAAAGGGGGTCCTAAGGCAGGCCTATAGCAGCGCTTTTAAAAGCGCTGCTAAATGCCAAAAAAAGCGCAGCTAAAGGGGGTCCTAAGGCAGACCTATAGCAGCGCTTTTTGAAAGCGCTGCTAAAGGGGGTCCTAAGGCAGACCTATAGCAACGCTTTTAAAAGCGCTGCTAAATGCCAAAAAAAACGCTGCTAAAGGGGGTCCTAAGGCAGACCTATAGCAGCGCTTTTAAAAGCGCTGCTAAAGGGGGTCCTAAGGCAGACCTATAACAGCGCTTTTAAAAGCGCTGCTAAATGCCAAAAAAAGCGCTGCTAAAGGGGGTCCTAAGGCAGACCTATAGCAACGCTTTTAAAAGCACTGCTAAATGCCAAAAAAAGCGTTGCTAAAGGGGGTCCTAAGGCATACCTATAGCATCGCTGCTAAAGGGGGTCCTAAGGCAAACCTATAGCAGCGCTTTTAAAAGCACTGCTAAATGCCAAAAAAAGCGCTGCTATAGGTTTAAGTAGCATAAATTTAAAAAATCTCAATATTTTCGCAGAATCAGAACAGTCTTCTTCTTTCTTATTTCCACTCGTGAACGTTGCCCTATTCAGAATTAGAACAGTCACCATCGACGCATTCCGTCCGCGCCTCCGTCCGTCGTCTTTCCTCCGGCCATTCCGTCGTCACCTCATTCTGCCGCCGTCCGTCCATTTTTGACGGTCATATCCGTCCTCCACCAGCGCATTTCCACCATTTTAAGGTATTTGAAGTTTTTCATTTTCCATTTTTATTATTCTCATAGTTGAATGCATTATTGGAGTTTGAATCTTTTAGTTGCTTTAGGTTGTTCTCATATAATATTTGAACTGATATTATATTCTGTTTTTAACATTATCCATAACCATTCCATAACTATCTCACATTCCATAACTATCTCACATTCTCTTAATACATAACATATGCAGTGTAGAATTGGAAATATAATAGTTATGATGTGTTGCTATCTGTGGTATAGATTGATTAAGGTCTCATGCTTGTTCGACTCGCTATTTCTGTTAATGTTTGCATCGATTAATTTCATTGTGCGAAAAATATTGGTTAAAAAGTGTTGTTGTTAGTCTCCTTATTTCTTCTGCTAGCTACAAAAGTTGAAAAACAACGAAGGAAAATTGTTATATGGTTCATTGTTTCAGTGAATATTTCAGTTTTGATTTGGTTGACATAAGGAGTAGGATTCAAAAGAAAGAGCCTAGCTAAACCCACCTATTTATGTCTCTTTCACATTCCTTTTGACACAATTTCATACACTTGTTGGATAGTGAAAAATCATGGCAGGGTAAATAAATATTGCTATGTTATGCTGACATTGTTGTATATAGGAATGTCCAAAGGAGCCATTGCTGGCATAGTTGTTGAAGGAGCTTTTGGGATTTTACTTTTGGCATTCATTCTCTATTTTGTGCTATATAGAAGAAAAAAGTTGCTCATGTAACTCTTCTACCAGTCCCGGGTGCGTCCGAAGATCAATATAGTCAACTCCAACATGGTATATCATATTTTGTTGTAAACTGTATAGTGAGATTTTCTAGTTCTAAATTGAATATTAAGTTTTCATGCAAAATGTGAAACTGTATATGAGTATTATCTGTTCCATGGATTTAGGTTGTAGAAGCAGCTTGGATAAGGCCTCCGAATTGACTACTATTGCTTCTCCGAGGTTGACAGGTATTACGGTTGATAAGTCAGTGGAGTTTTCGTATGAGGAGTTAGCCAAAGCTACTGAAAGATTTAGCGCGGCAAATATAATCGTTCGAGGTGGCTTTGGATCTGTTTACTACGCCGAGCTTCGAAATGAGGTTTGTGTGTTTAGAATCTCTTTTGTATTACGCTTTATGAAGAAAATTATTCTTTCTGGTCAAATAGAGATTTCAATCATGGTATGGATCAATTCATAAGTTATATGATTCATTTTGATAATTAACTGATATTTTATCTGAGTAATTAGTTTTAAAATTAAATTGTGCATGTTCTGTTATATTATGTAGTATTTTGATGATTTCAAGTGCGGTACTTACTCGAAAGCAAGATTGGAAGAAATTAAGGAGGAATGGTGTCAATTTATTTTTAAGTTGAGAATTCTATAATGTATCTATTTGTAAAGTTATCGGATTTGTAATTATATGTAAATTGATTGTATATGTGATGTTGTTCTGAGGATCGGACTGTGTTGTAATATATTTAAGCAGGTTTATGTGTATAATATTGCAAAGTGATGAATTATAATGTATACTTTAGTTATTGTGTATAATATTGCAAAGTGATTAATACACAAAAATAAGGCCAAAATAATTGTTATATATAAGGGCAAACTGTTGAACTAAAGGCCTGGATTATAAGCAGGGAATGTATTTGTTATAAGCAGGTTTATTGAAAAATATATAAAAAATGTGATTATTTAAAAAAAAAAATCAAAATCGTGAAGAATAGACAGCGCTTTTAAAAAAAGCGCTGTTAAAGGGGCAAAAAGAGGCCTAAAAAAGCGCTGCTATAGGTTGGAAAAGGGAGGGTCTAAGAAAGCGCTTTAGAAAAGGGCTGTTAAAGGGGGGGTCTAAGACAGCGCTTTAAAAAAGCGCTGCTAAAGGGGGGGGTCTAAGAAAGCGCTTTTAAAAAGCGCTGCTAAAGGAGGGAGGTGAAGTGGGATTAGGCAGCGCTTATAAAAGCGCTGCTATAGGGTGAAAAAAGCGCTGCTAAAAGTGTTGATAAAGGCCAAAAAAA